CCGAATATTTTTCAGGTCGGACATGGTGTACGGCCAGCCTATACGTGCGGCGCATGTTGTTGACCTGGGCGCGTAGTATAGCAGAGGATCGTGGACTGCGCAAGGGACCAATGGTAAGTAAGTTATGCATGAGACCATTTTTTTTTTGTTTTTATTGTTGTTATTGTTGCTGGTGCAGTTGTTGTTGGGTATGTACGCTTTGACAATGTTTGATTTGTTGTTTAAAATTATCTGCAGCTTCAACAGCTAAGTTCATTAGTGGAAAATGGTCGAGTCTGGGAAAGGACTAAGAAAACAGGTCGAGTCTGGGAAATATCTAAGAAAACAGCACATCAGTTCTCGAAAAGATGAAGATATGTGTTAATTTGTTACAATAAAATGAACAAGTGTTTCATTATCGTACTTAATTTCTTACAAATTAACACACTGAGTACATAAAGGGAAGAGTTTCCGAAAGGCTGGACAGTGGAAAAGTGCAAAGTTTGTTTGTAAGACTTCACTGACTTAATAATCTAGGTATGACGCTTATCTATGGGCTTAACTGATTTTTTTTTTTTATAGACGAACCTATACTAATCAGTTAAGCGAATTTAGAACCAAATTAGATAAATTGTCACAAAGATGTCAAATTCATTAATATAGTTCCCATTACATGATTCATTCCCTGGATTATAATTTAAAAAATACTTTTATTTTTCATATATTTTTTACGTTATGAAATCAGAATCATTTCAGCTTGCAGAGTTCAAAAGTCAGCTGTTAACTAAGTAACAGAAAACGAGTGAAATTTTAATAGCGGTTACTAATAACCTTGACAATTATCCTCATTAATGTTACAGAAATAATAATTCTAATGTTAACTGAATTTCTGTGTAAACAAGAGAGAGGGAAAACTCTTGTCTTATGGTGATTCTTAACAATAAGTAATGTATCAAAATGTGATACAAATATATCTTTAATGAATAGGTTATGTCACATTGTAGATTTCCCTTCATCTTTTTTAATTTCGTTTATTATAATCGTTCTCTTTTTTTTTTTTTTTTTTTTTTTTTTTTATTCATAGTCTGATTAATGTTTTAGAATTTTTTAAATCGTTAACATGATAGCTACACAATTCAGCATATCACTGATATATTAAGATTACATTTACATATTTCGGTCTTTTAGGGAAAAGATATATATATATATTCTAAGAAAATAAATTTAATTTACAACGCTAAAGTATTTACAAAATAGCCAACAGTATAGTAACTATATTAAATACATAACAAGAATAACAATCTTTTAGCAAAAATAATATCGAATACTTGTGATTCGTTTCTATACAGTGTTGATAAATAAAACGTACGCACTCAACAATATTCAGTAAACATAACAACAAAATATCACGAGACATTCATCAGAAAGTCATTATCAGCTGTGCTATTACAAAAATATAACTACTCAACTATACACAATCATTCTATCCTGAAACTGAAGTCCAACACTCTTCTGAACCAAGACTTTGAGCCAAACTTCAGACTGAAACTGAAGCCCCAAGAATCTTCTGAACCCAGACTTTGAGACAAACTTCAGACTGAAACTGAAGTCCCAACAATCTTCTGAACTAGGAATTTGAGACAAACTTTAGACTTTCAGACTTCAAGACTTCAAATACACTTCAGGTAGTCTTCAGTGGTGTAGGATAACAATGAACTTTTAGGAATATGATGAGAAAGCGGTGTTAGCGAAGCGATCAGGGTCTCGCCATATCTCGCTTACAGTCATTGGCTTCTGTAGGTGGAGAAAATGCTGTGTAAGTCTACCTTCTTAATGCTCAATTTTAGTACTTTATATACTGTCGTTTGGTATGGCATTAAACTCATGAGAGAGGGAGAGGAAAAAGGAAGAGGGAGAGAGGAAGGGAGGGAGAGAAAACTGAACAGAGAAGAGAAAGACGACAATGAAAATCAAAAAAAGAAAAAAATATAAACAAAAGTAAGGAAGAGAGAGAAACGGAACCACCTAACCTCTATTCCCTATTACGTATTACATCAGTGTTCCTTACCAAGTGTCTTCCTCTCTGCCTTCTGCTTGGGACTGCGTTGCTTGATAATTTGTACCCACAGAGCGTTTCGACTTATATGGTCCGTCTTCAACGGTTGCTGAGGCGCCTACTAAAGTCTACGGAGTGATCTTGTTTACTTCCTACTTACCAAAGCCTCCTTTCCCCTCCTTTTACCCTTTATTCTCCTCCCCTCCCCCCTCTTTTTTCCCCTTCCCTTCCCTCCCCGTAAGTCCCCATGGAGGCTTTGGCTGCGAGTGGTCATTGCCCACAAATAACGTTGTTTTTTAGTATTTTCCTTTTCAGTTCTTTCCTGTTAAAGAGAAAATGAAGACTTGATTTAGAAATTATTAGGTAAACAATAGTTGTAGTACCATAATACATAAGTACAGACACTTGAACAATACAGCCTTTTAATAAAGATCTAGGTATGTATACAGCCGTATACACTGCAAG